AAAAATCCTTGCCTATATAGGCGCCTTTTTCTTCAAATTTTCTTGCCTTTAAATCCGAGCTTTAGTTATGACTGTTTATGCTGCAAATGCGGTTCGAAAATTTGATGAATACAAATATAATAATAACTGTAGCACTGCAACCCTAGTTGGGTCTTGGCTGCTTGAACCGAACCACCTTCTCCATCGCGTGCCATCTAGGGTAACATTTTACCAGTTATCAATTCACTTAGCTTAGTTCTTCCTAGGGGTCTTTTTCCTGTTGGGTCGAAAGTCGTCATTGTCCATGTCTCGCATCCATCATGATGACAGGTCGTATTAGTGTCTTGTATACCTATGTTGATTTTTCTTGGCCTTGTGACATATTTGGACTGCAGCAACTCCCGCACAGAGAAGAAACATTTGTTGCCCTGGCTAATTCAGTGTTTTGTCACTAAACTTGGGTAGTTGGTTGGTAGCGTTGCCGCTACACCTTGCTTTTCCGCGCTCGCCGCAACAATACTTTTACTTAATAGTGTTGAGACTCCTCTCATGTGCAACTTATCTCATTCGTAAAAAGTTTCATCAAACGTGTTTTTATATTTTCAACTTTACCATAAGATTTTTTAACTGTGACTTTGTCCTGCTTAAAAGGTGGTATTGATTTTTGTTATTGTTTTATAGTTTCAAAACTCATTTCGTTAACATACCATACTGAATACGTCTACATGAAAGGGCAGGAGGTCCGATTAAGTCGATAGTATTTTGCGCAAGAAAGTCAGATTATTTATTATTATTATATTTTATTTTCGCATATTTTGCAACGATGTTCTATTAAGTAATTCCATTCTATCTCAAATCGAGCTCGGATCGCTTCAATTTAACAGGTGTGCTCCAGATAAACCCATTAATATGTAAAAAACTTAAAACGTTTTTTTTCTAAAGGCCGACATTGTTGCTTGGTTTTCGTAATACAATTGTGATATGTGCAGACTTCGTTGCACTACCTTCAATTTGCCACGCAGAAAGCCATTTTTTGTCATTTGCACTACTTTTTTGCACAACCAGGCACTAACCGAAAAGATATGCACTAAATAGCGCTTCAAGCAGAAATCTATTCGCTCTGAATATATCTAATCAGAACATTCCCAAAACTAGTCCAAACTTGTCCGTGTAACGTCTATTTTGCTGGTCAGTTTAATTTACTAATATGTATTTCCAAAAACTCCGTATCACTTACGTACTCAAGAAATGAGTCGTGGTAATACCTTCCACTTTTGCTTCTTCTCCTCAGAAGTAGTTTTCGTCTAGTAGACGAGAAAGGCAACCAAATGAGCTAACCTTTTGCTCTCAGATGAAACCTAATAAAGGTATGAAGCTCTTTGGCAAGGAGCTAACGGCAATAAACCCGCATTCTGAAATGTTCTCAAGTTATATAATTGTTGTGTATGTCGAGAGCATTTAAAGTGCACTGGAAGTTAGCTGCGGGAACAAAGACGCATAAAACCTGATTGCTACAATTTTATACATTGAGGATTTGTTAAAAGGCTAACGATATCAGATAGACGGGAAAATACCAATATTGTCAGGCCATTAGGGTCGCACAAAAATAAAGCTTAAGAAAAAATAAGTACAATGACTATTGCTAGCTTTAAACTGCTGAACTAGTCTGTAGCTGATTGTATCAATATTATATTATAACCAAAAAGGACATTTTTAGAAAATAAAAGCAGTTTGTAGTCCAGTCTCAAACATGTTATTCAAGCTAAATCACCAATGAGTTAACCGAATTACAGATCATCGAAAAATTTATTAAACAAAGCTTACTGAAAATATTCAGCTACAATTTAGAAAATATATTAGCAGCATAATCTAGTTTGGAATGTCACGAATATAACCAAAGGCAACATCCAATTTATTAAAATTAATTAATTTGATGCAGCAAATAACTCTAACTGGAAATAATTGCACATAGAAATTGCTGCTACTTTGTTTTATTGCTAGTTTTAATGACTAACTGCTCAATTTAGAATATTTACATTATTTGTCATTTTTTCTTACAGGTTCGTTCGTGGTTGTGTGGAAGCGAGGACTAACTTTGCTCAGTGCCGGCGAACAAAAGATATCTAGAGATCCACGAATATCCCTGGTGGGTTTCAATTTACAAATCAAGGATATCAAACACGCAGATCAAGGCAATTACGCGTGCCAAATCGGCGACGGCTTACAAGGAGAGCTCATTCATTCCATAGAGATACTAAGTAAGTAGAGTTCATTGAATCGTACTTTTGGCTGCTACACTGAATATTTAGGATTTGTTTCTACAGCGTTAAATATTTTTAGCATTATTTCATTTTGCAAAAAGTATTTCTTTGATAAACTTTTGTGGGATGAACCGGAACCCTTGTTCATGGTGCGCCAACTATAACAAAACAGAACTGATTTCTCAGTTGATACAAAAGCTAAAAACACTTTTACTTTAGTTTTTTTACAAAAAATACTATAGCAAAATTGCTCGGATAATTGAACTTGAGTGTGAAAGGGAAATGTTTTATACGAGGTTCTTTTTGTGATTGCTTTCATTCCCTGGGATGAACCAACCCTAAATTTTAAATGTACGCGTTTGCAACCATTTTAGACCCAAATTATATGGCCACTTGTCGATAACGCTAAATCGGTGCATGAAATTGAGTGTACTGTATTGGAAGGAAAAACACTTGTAAGCTGTTGCTTAATTTACTAAATGAACAATATCTGAAGAAGGGCGCGTCAGTACAAAACGAAAAAGAGATCTAAGGTGGATTCGGCGTTTATACCCTCCAGAAGGGCAGCGGTCAAGTGCCATCTGGCGATTTACAATAAATAGATGAAACCGCAATCACCAAATAAAAGCACCTAGAAAAAGAAAGGGCAAAACAGAGTGAGACATGAAATTAAATTTTCCTGGATGGCTTCCTATCGCAAAAAAAAATTATGTCGCTAAGGAGGACATCGATTATTTATTTATTAAGAAGAATATTCTATACTATAAAGGGTCGTTAATAAAAATTAAGAGAAATTTGAAAATTGAACAGTGTGTCGAAGTCATCTAAAATAGTTTTTATTCGAATTAATCTAAAACTGCCATCCTCGATATGCACAAGAAAAGAGAATTTTGGCTTCCAGAAAATAGTAATAATTTCCGCATGTTGGTCCGCGTTTTGCTCTGGCGTTTTGGATTTTTAGTTTTGTCTTTTGTTTAGTAATAAGATAGTCAGTTTCTGATCTGCGATTTTGGGAGGGTTTGGTCCAGGTGTATTTGTGTATTTCCCTGTGTTGGAAAAAGCCATTTTGAATTTTTAAGTCTAGTTGCTCCCATACCGTTATTAATCGGTTTCCGTTGTTGTTAACAATCTCTTCTCCGAAGCGGCCCGCCGTCAGATCGTTCAACTTTTTACCTGTTCTGTTGTTTATCTATTCCAATATAACAATTGAAAATACACTTGTCTAGCTTAAATATCAGGCAGTGGTTTTATAGGGTATTTTTGTACCAACAGTAAAATGACTTGAATGAGGAATATTCAGTTTAAATATTTATTCTCGGTCAGGTACTCCTTAATATGGAGCGGGTTTTGTGAGCTGCAGGACCGAAAGATGAAAAAGGATCAATGAAAGACACCGGAAAATCCTTTCAGAAAAAAAAGGAAATTTTACAAAAAATTGAGCAAAAAAGAGAATCCTTGCAAAAATATGGAAGATCGTAGCCAGAAGAAAATAATGTGCGTTGCTTGGCGCATCAACAACCTTTCGATAATCCACTAGTGCAGATAATAAATGATAGGTCGTTTTTTGAAACCTATCCGCACTCTTTACGTCGTTACCAGCCCAATAATCAGCCGATTTTTAAATTTCCAAAGGCGAAATAAATTAAAAAACTTTAGCTCTTGTACGCAATTTTTGGATGTGGAAAGTTTGCCGACATGCTAGAACTACAGCCGGATTTTTTCGGCAAAATTCGGGTTTTGGGACACTCGAAACCTTACATCTCAAAACTTGTCAAATCAAAGTCCGATTTTCAAATTTCAAAGAACTGTAGAAATTAAAAGTCCATCCATACAGGATATCCTGTACCCAAGTCTTACTATTTTTGATATACGTATTTGAAATTTTATGCAAAAAATGACAGTTGCATACACTCGTATAATTATTTAATTTTCGTATGAGATAATATGTGTTACTTAATTTAAGTCGGATTTATTGTTGCTGAAAAGGACTTACTTTTCACAAATATGTATTAATAATTTCAAAATGGCAAAAATCCTTTAAAGTAAACACCTACTTTTCAACAATAAATCCCTCAAATTAAGTAGCCCATATTCGCTTATAAGAAAAATGAATAACTATTCCAGTGGCTGCAACTGTAATTTTTTACATACAATTTAAATAGATTAAAAAGGATTAGACGAAATCGAAATCGGAATATTATTTTTATTGTTTGCTTTTCGGATGGAGTAAGTTATTAATTAAATTGCATCACATTATCGCGTCATATTTGAAGTTCCGAAAATCTGAGAGGAGCGACTACTAGTTCAGATGCTCGAAGACTTCACTTATCGCTAGTTAGTGAATCTTGTGGAAAATAACCTACAAATTTATATTTGTGTTCTTGGTTAATATGTTATATTATATACAGGGTGAGTCAGTTTATAGTAGCAGGACTTCAACAGTCGATAGAAAATCCAGTTTTACGATGAAAATTCATACAAACATATCTTGAAAACGCTTTTGTTTTTGAAGTACAGGGTGGCAAAGTAATAATTTCCTTTTCAGTATTTTTAACTATGGCAATGTTACATCCAAACGTGTCCAAGTTTTCGCCAAATTTCCAGAGGGCACCACATGGCACTAATATTTAATTTTTAAATAATAGTTTAAATATAAATAAGAACTTATTTCCTACCGTATCAAGCTGATTTTGGAATAAAATAATTTTTCATTCATATTTACGTACGGTATTACGGTAATCTTGTTTGACATCGCTGACAGCAATTATTTTGTAGATTTTTCCAAAAGAAATATTTATTGCAAATTAATTACTTACAACAAAACAAACTTAACCTAAACAAGTTTAAATTTCCAAAGTAAAGTCGAATGATTGGATGTGGTATTGCAATAATTCCCATAGTACAGAATTTTATTACAGTATCTTAAAAGTTACGTGAATTATTTAAAAAAAAGTGTTAAATTTGCCACCCTGTATCTCAAAAAACAAAGTCGCTTTCAACATATGTTTATATTATATTTTCATCTTAAAATTTGATTTTCTATTGACCGTTAAAGTCCTGTTCTATAAACTGACTCTCTATATAAACTCATCCTGTCTAGTGTGAATATGCATTGTGCTTTCGGTCTCAGATTAACACTTAATCTAACCCAAAATCAGTTACGCAAGTGAAACTGATACATTGCATTGCATCAAATTATTTAAATTATGCAATGTTATGGAATTGTCGAACCGTCGTTAATAGAAAAAGAGATAGGGCAAATTGACATGAAATAAACGTAACATTGTTGTTTCACGTACAGCAGCTATGAGAAACCTAAATATTTTTTGTTACTGGAAGTGGCATTAGTCTGCGAAGATATAGAAAATGAAATTATAATGAAGACTGTGTTGAGATGATCAAAGAGACTAAGGCTAAAGACTTTAATAGTTAAAAATCCTAGAATGCCACTAACAGAAATCAATCACAAAAAAATGCTGTTCGCTGATTCGAACCATCCAAAAACAAATATGGGAGAAAGATACATTGATTACATACTTTTCTCAGATAAATCCACATTTCATACTAATGTTACAGCCATAACATCTCAAAGTTATTGTATCGGTTTCAGAAGAAAATCGTAACTTGAGATTTAATTTTTTAACGACAGGTTATAAATAATTGAATTATTGATTGATTACGGAGTCTTTTTTGTAAAAGAAAATCTGAATCAGCACAAATAAACACTTATTTAGATAAGTTAAAAATTATTGAGGAATGGTAAATATATTGCTAATTACATTATTATTAAATGTGTTATTATAACGCTTACGAAATGTGTATGGTTAAAAATAAAATACATTATTCTGAGAAAGACCATTGTAATCCTCAAACTTGGCACTTAAAAATCAAATTGCATGCAAACTAAACTTTTGCAGAATAAAAATTCCTACACAATTTTAATACAAATTTCAACAAAAGTTTGCTAATATTATTGTGAACATTTATTTATTATCTAAAGTTTATTAGAACTTGGGATATCGTTTTGTAGTGAGTACGCTGGAGCCTTATCTTCATCTTCAACGTATCTTCATTTTCGGATAACATTCCCATACCACCATCCTTCTATTTTGTTTTTCGCTATTACTTTTAGTGAGTTTTTCCTGTCTGTCTCGGACTTTCCAATTGTATTTACTGTTCTATTTTGCATTTTATGTCAAGGATAATAAAAATTAAAACTAAAATTCAATTTTCAGTTTTTTTTACAGCAACACGACTCCAGGCATCTTATAAATGATATTCTGAGGACCACTGTATGTCAATGAATTATATAACTAATTGTAAATAGTTTGAAAATCGCCAAAATTATTATGACTTTTAGAGAAAACGATGCACATATTTGTTTTATTCATTTTTTGTATATACTTTCCTGACCGTGTTTCAATTCCAAATCAAAATTATTATTCATTTTATAATTTGGTGGAGAATGATAAAACATCACGGATTAATTTATATACTTTACAGGTACTTATAATATGTTAATGAACACAGCAAGTCGTATTAGCAATAATTAAATTCTTAAAAAGTTACTTCTCAAAATCAAAACTGGGCGCAAGTGAAAGTTCATACGAATCGTGCATTCATTTCGGATGAAGAAAATATCTGGCACTTTAAAAAAATGCTTACTTTAAAGTTCTCATTTTGTTGCTGAACCTCTGCTCTTTCATATATATGATAACTTCTCCAAAATATTATTCGAATATTTCGCTGAAAACGTCATGATAAAAAGCGCACTCCTTTACAATGGCGCACAGTTAGAACGATAAATAAGACGTTACACGTAGAAGCTACAAGGCGAAACTTTCCCAAAGGAGCGGCACGTTATATGTATACCGCCTTTATGGTGGCTGTAATTCAGCATGTAGTTTCTGCAATCATTTTAAAACTGGAGAACATTTTGCTTATTTACTTTTAAATTTTGAATTTGTTTCAACAAGGACAGCTGTATTTTGTATAGT